GTAAATTAAAAAATAATGTTTATAGACTATTATGATAGAACAATAAAAAATATTTCTGTTTAGTTCAATTCATACCTAGCTACGCCTTTTCAATCTACCTACATTATATTATATAGAAATTCAAATAGGAGTAATAGGACACATATTTAACGAGCAGTAATTATTTCATAATTTTGTTTCCAGCCATCTTGAAAATTATTCATGATAATAATTAGCGTTTAACTTATTTTTAATTTAGTAAAAATTAATACATTTTACGTTAAATGTTAAGAAGCTTTTTTATTTCATTATAATGTCATTATCTTAAAATATTAATAAACTTTCTCCTATTACCTAGTAAAAARTTAAAAATACTAATAATAAATTATGAAGAAAATGTTAGCGTTTAAAAATTTGACATTCATTTTCTATATATATCATTGAATGATGTACACATTTTCTTAATTTAAGAAAAATATATTTTATTATATGATAAAACAAACGTTAACACGATTATAAATGGTCAATTATTACAATTTAATTAGCTAACCATCTCATTAAAAAACTATTCAGACTAGACGTCTGTACCTATAATGCATTTTATAGMTAATTATAATATTACATTTGTTTGAATTATCTGATTTTAAATATTTTTATTTAAGATTTAATGATTCATTGATTATGTTTTGTGTTTAAAAATGTTCAATATATTATTATGAAAGTCCTAAAATTTTATATTTTAAGAGGCAGGGAGAATAATTTAGGAATTTACATATGAATAATTTATTTTTAGTATCAACTACCTATAAAAATATTGTATTATGAACAATACAATCAGTACATTTTATTTAAAATTCTTTCTTTTTATGTAAGATACATTAAGTCGTTTTAAAATGTCTAAGATCCAGCYGTATGTAATTTGGATTTAAATTATGAATAGCTAAATATGTAAAATTACTGAATGRTATAATATTTTGTAGCAAATTAAATTTAAAACTCCGTCAAACATTCATCATAAATATTTCTTAAAAATGTGAATATTATACTTAATAGTTAATAATGAATCGCTTAAAACAGTACCCAAAGTAATAAAATATTATAGAATTATAAATTGTTTTGAATTAGACTGAACCACACTATTTCTTCTTAAATAGTTGAAGTGCGTTAAGAAGACTACGCTATATCCGTATGTGTTGTCTCAGTTTTACAAATGTTGAAATGTAAAACAAAGCAAAAATCGTTTTGCGAGGGACAAATATATACTCCCTCTACCCTCTTTATTTATAGTAGAATAAACAAAATTCCACAAACCACAGGGAAGAATTTTATAAGTGTTATTCTGTCTTTATTTTTTTGATAGCACTAACAAATAATGTTTAATAATTGAAAAAATCAAAAAAAGCTTAATGTTTTTAAATTGATAACTTTAATTGTATAGTTATCTAAATAATAAAAACGTTTCAACTAGACAAAGTTCTTCCCTATGGTTTGTAGAATTTTAGTAATTCTACTGAAGATACAGAGGGAGTGTAGATGTTCCGTGTAAAACAGTTTATGCAATGTTTTACATTTGTAAGACGGAGATAACACATGCGGATGTAGTGTCCTCTTAAAGCGCTTAAATTTAAAAAAAGATAGTGTGAGTCTAAATCAAAACAAYGTATTTCGATCAAACTGGACCATCGGATGATTTCAACCACTATGGTTAAAACCGAACTACCGAACAGTGCGTAAGTGTGTTCGTGCATTATAATACATTCTTATACACCCAGCTGCAGATCCTTGGTGGTAAACTTAACTGATGATACACAGAGTAATGGTAGGAATAACGCATAGATAGTTTAAAATTTATTGAAATAAACAATGATTTTATTCATCAGTTTTAATTTAGTTGATTTATTAATAAAACCTTTTAAAACACCTCATTAAAAAAACAAAAAATGTAGTAAAATGCTTTTTAATATTATYATATCTAGCTAGGCGTACTAACATAATTAATATAGTATAAAATATCCTAGACTGACAAACCGTTTCCGTTCAGAATCGTTTTTCGTATACAATGACATTATATTTTTGAACTCAAATTTAACACCATCATCCATTGCAGTAACTCACATGTAACCTACTGYACAGCAAAGCGACATCTACTTACCGGTCTTTAAAAAAAACATTAACTTATACCTTTCCATGTACCTTATAAGTCGTATGATAACTTATATGTGTTATTATTTTTCGTCTGACTTTTTAATACGCTTTAAAAGTAAATTATGTGAATCGTCTGGTCCTAGCTGTAGGTAAAATGTTGTTTCACTTATAACTAATATAATAACATGTTCATAATATGGGTATGCTCACTATTTAGATATTTATGGAATATTGTTACACGTCATAGGTAAACGTATTATATGATGACATGTTGAATTTCATTGATTGCTACATTTACGGTACCTATTGTATTGGTACACGCAATCGATAATTATTATAATAAGTAATAACTAGATGGTCGAATAATCGTCGTTCAACAACAAAGAACCTACTTATCAAATGTTATAAATCGTCGCGGGTTGTGCATGCATAAAGTGCATTTAACATATATATATATATATAGGTGCTATTTTGTACAGTATTTCTTCGAGGTATGTATAAAACTTTAAGCTATGTATTATAAGTACAGGAATAGTACGTTGTTCATGTGTACAACGTATGTATGTACTTTCAAATATATATACATATATATAATGTATTATATACGCGATACGCCAAAGCCTAAAGGTAAAATTACGATACATCGGGCATGCGTGTATATACCTACATATTATTATATTAAACATATACCTATATAGGTATATTATAATATCTCATATATAGGTACTTACCTGCAGCTACATATGTAGGATTGTAGGAATAGTGTTTAGCGTTCTAAAAAACATCCTTGTCCCGTATGTTGCACACACACATGGATGCAAATAGGTACTGCACTGGGCCAAGTTCATTGCGACGCGGGACGACATAATAAAACAATAATKATAATAATAAGTGTAGTTATGTTTAGTACGAATAAGTTACGTACAACTCCTTTGCATACAATTATTTTTATACTCCGCATCCGGTTTGAGCATTCTATATAGGTATTGCGGAACAGCGCTGATACATATATGATATATAACAAAAATGTCGTATATATGACAAAATAGGTTCGGCGTGTGCATATTATGTACATATACATATAGTCATATATATCGTAATATATATTATTATTAGGTTTATATATATACACCAATATATATATATTATGCGTGAATCTACCTATGAGTTATATGTTATATACGTACTTATATATATATTTTATTATATACCCGTGCACATTCCTGCATCTCGACTATACATCTGCACGCTTATCTAACATACATACATATGTATATATATTTATTWTAAGTATCTATCTAATTTTCTAACGTAAYGTCAAACGTTATAGCAGTATACAGTATTATAGGTTACCTATAAATACGATATGATGTAAACAGGCAAATGGGTATTAGGTACCTGTTTTAATAATATTATGATACATTATATTATTATGTATTATATGTTTTTTAGAGGGAATCCGTGGCAACATGGGACATTGGGTGTAAGATATTATTATTGTCGCTGTTGCTGACGATGGTATACAGAATATAGCAAAAACAAGCAAAAATTATGCATTTACGCACATCATATAATATAATACACGTATAGGTACATTTACAATCTTTGTACGTATTATTATCTTATACGTATTAGTGTATTTATAATAATAAATACGAACGACGCGCCGAACGGGTATATGAAATTTAGGCGCCAAAGACCGGTCCCTCGACCCGAGCCGCTGTGGACGCCTCCACCGTCGGAGAAAAAAAATTTGCCTGTTACGGGCGCTGACTCGTCGAAAGTGAAACGCTACGCCTGATGATGCAGCATCAGGTGTATAATATGTAGATACACCTCGTGTGAAGACTTTGGGTGCCCCGACCGTGGCCGTAAATAATAATAATAATAATAATAATACACTCGCGTTTGTACCTCTCCTCTCGCAGTGCGCACTGTATTATAATATATATAATACTATTATATAGTGGTCGTCCTTCGTTTATTATCCATTACACACACAGCCTCTCCTCCTTTTCCTTTACAGACACACTCGCACACCGTCGCTTCTACTGCACCGTGTATTACATATTATATCGTATATACACCGGGGCACGAATACACACTTATACATATTATTATCTAAATATATAACTATAAAAAAATACATTTTTTTAGTATATTCGTGCGTATAGTAGGTACTGTATAATATGTATAATATTGTATATATATATATATATATCGACTCTACTATAGTATAAAATATGCATGTATACATAACTGCATGCAACCTGCTGCAGCTGCAGTCACCATATACATTGTATTATACGAATTGTACATATTATAATATATTATATTATATCATAATATGTGCGATATGWGCTCATGTGTACCCACTCGCCCACTCTATATTGCCACGCGCGTGCAGCCACTACACTTATGTAGAATAATATTAAATTATTTTTATAAAAACTACGTACTTATACATACCTATATATATATATAAATGATTTATGTCGCTATAAGCAGGATTGCATCGCCCGATACCCCCGGACGAAAATCGTTGTTATTATTATTATATTATCGTCGTCGCTGCAGTCGTCGAGTATGTAAGTACAGAGGAGAGGGCGTCAGCCCCGACATCCCGCGTCCTGTGCTGCAGCGGTACAATAAAATATCCTAGAYACCTAAAATATGTCGCACTCTCGCGGGGGGGAGGGGGGCACTATACGATCTTATCGAAGCAGTGGTGGTGGCCTGCAGTGCGTCATATATATACCCCCCCGGAGACGAGCGACCATATATTAATATTATACACACACACACACACACACACCCGCGCGCGCACTCACACACATACACGCACACACACACCAACTCCACTGCTGCAAGACAACGAGAGAACGCGTTGCATTATTTCGCGGACGCGCGCCGATCGTCAAACCCGCCGCCGCCGACGCCGCCCCGCACACGAGCGTTGCGTATTAGTCGTCGTGTTATTATATAGTTGTGGTGCTGCTGCTCGACGAGATGAACTGCACGTCTTGACGAGTCCTCCGTCGCCGCTGCAATACAGCCGCAGTCGCATGTTATATTCCTGTGGCGACACACTGCGCACAGTCTTCGTATAATAATATATCGCATGTTATTATACACACAGTGCACATTGCGCACGACCGTCACGCAGTATAGACATACACATTTATCGCCGCCGCAATAGTACAATATTATTATCATATCACCATCGTCGTGTCAGTACGTCGACGACCGCGTGCGTGTACATCACACCTGCAGAAGCTGTACGCGTGCGTGCGATAACGCCGTCTCGTTCGTTTCTGCTGAACTATCAGCCGGCCGGAATATATACGTCGCACATCAGCTAAGTAAGTACCTTCCTATATATAACACCATGGTGCATCAGCCGCCCTTAGAACTTTTTCAATTTTTCAATCCTTTATATTATCATTATTATTATTTTAATAATATTGTACTGCAGGTATGTAGGTAGTATARCATCAATATTATTATAATATTTAGATACATATAAGATAGGATGATGACCCATACTCAAATAGGACAGGTATATAATACTTTAATATATGTACAAAATGAGATCTATCTTATATATTATTCAGTCGTCTTGCGCAGACTTACGCTACACATACGTTACATCTTCCAGTAACACGCTGTAGCATTATTATTATTTAAATATGTATAGTTATGGAATAGTTTTTTATAATTCATTCACCTACCGTTTCCTATACTAGCTAGTGTGCAGATCGTAGGTATATAGATTTTTCTATAACGCACGACAAAACCGCAACGTGCTCCTATACCGTGGTGACTATACAGTGAAGGTGCGCGTGCGTTTTGCTTTCCCTCTTAGAAAGCGGAAGGCGCAAACTTTTACGTCAATCGTCATTGCCGCTGTCGATTATAATACCGCGTGTAGTGCAATAGCCAATAAGTACATATTAACACAGGAAACAAATGATCAAATTCTGCCCTACAAWATTTTATAACAAAACGTGTTTAACAATAAGTAGTTGGTAAATTATAAAACATTGTTTTATTCTCCGTATTAGTCTGCAACTATAATGAAACGCGTAGGAGATAGCCAATATAAGTAATGCCGCAAGTTTATTACACATATCTATACCTATATAAGTATATCGTGTATTATATTATACACATTACGTCATAATATAATAATATTGTGTCGCCAGGAGACTTTAACGCTAGCATCTCGTTCGGATTACCTCTACTCATATCGAAACAATTATCGCGCTGCGGTTACGTTTTCAATAATATAATCACGTAGTATTATGTATAAAGTCATAGTAATCCGTAATCGTATACATATCTATAAAATACAACAAGTGTGTGTACTCGTAGCTGTATTTTCCGGTCGAAAAAATCACTTTATTCCGTATATATACTATACTCGTATAGGTATATACGAACCATTATGATAATTGAAAATTTTCCTTAAACAGAAAATCTGAAATATAATGCGTTTTGATATTATTCATAAAATCGGAATGTCATTTATACATATATCTACCTATAGTATATACATAGTACTTATATATGTATACATTCGGTGACATAACTATATCTATGTTATAAGTGATAGACAATAATTCCGGTTTTATTTTCTTACATTTTTTTTTTCATAACATAACCACCAGTCAAACACGTGGATTCGTTTTTATTTTATTATTTTTTTAATTGCCAAACGACCATGACTACCGCCTGACCGGTAGCCAAAGAAGGTGATGCGCGACTTCTTCTGAATCTTCACGGTGCAGGGAATCGTTTGATTTTTTATTCACGTGATGTAAACACGATCTATATTAATCTTGTTTTTTTGACGCTGAATAAAAGTGATGATGGTAATAATGATACATGTACATCGTAGATGTCGAAGATACTATGTGTTGTGACAAAACCGAAAGTGTAATGATAATATATGTTGCGTCATTAGGATCATTAATTAATTTCAACGTCAAAA